AGCTGGGGGTGGAAGTAGGGAACACACTTTTTTGCTAAACCTCTTCCCCTCCCCCACCCTTACTCTTAGACCCTCCAGGGCTTGGGCACAGAAGGAAGGTGAGGTCATTTAGTTCACAAGTTCTGTTTTTAGTTCTCCTTTGGCAGTTTCATGCCTTCTGTCATGGCAGATGTTCAAATGCTGGCTCTTTCCTGGAGGTGCTTCTGTTGGTCCTTCAGAGACACCTTCCAGCTGGGGGCCTCCATACTGCACTTCCTGGGACAGCAGTGCACTCTCCTGCCAGGCTCCTGCAGCTCTTCCTGCTCTGTCTGGACTGGCTAGGATAGGCAGCTGTCATCCCAAATCTCCCTTTTCCCCTTTCCTTTGTTGGGACCATTGGTTCCTGGATTCTGTGTCTTCCATTTTGATACAGCACATCCTTGAGTAGCTTTCTGAGGATCTGTGCATGAGAGGCAAACTTTTTGAGACCTTCTATGCTTGAAAAAAATCACTCTACATCCTACTTTGACTGAGCATGGGATTCTATATTGGAGATTATTTTACCTTAGAATTTTGAAGGCATTGCTCCATTATCTTCTAGTTTCCAATAGTGCTATTTAAAAGTCTAATGACATTTTGATTTCTAACTGTGTGTGTGTGTATTCTGTTGTCTTCTGTCTAGAAACTCTTAGGCTCTTCTCTTTATTTCCAGTGTCCTGAAATGTTACAATGGTGTTGGCCTTTTTTGTTCATCAGAGAACTCAGATACATTAAGCTCTAGAAAACTGTTGTTTTGCTTCTTTCATAATTGTCTCTCTTTTCTTCATTCTTGCTAGGACTCATAATTTGGATGTTGGACATCCTACTTTGATCCCACAATTTTCTGATTGTTCCTATCCTTTTCTATATTGTTGTCTTTTTGCTCTATTTTCTGGACATTTCTTCAACTTTTGATGAGATTTTCTCAAGCCTTCTATTGTATTTTTTATATTTTTAATTGTGATAAAATATGCATAATATAAAGTTTACAGTCTTAACTATTTTTAAGTGTACAGTTCAGTAGTGTCAAGTACATTCACATTATTGTGCAACCAATCTCCACAACTTTTTCATCTTGCAAAACTGTAATTCTGTACCCGTTTTCCCTTCTCCCCAGCCCCACTGGTAACTACCATGCTACTTTCTGTTTCTTTGAGTTTAACTACTCTAAGTACCTCATGTAAGTGAAATCATACAGTGTCTTTTTGTGACTGGCTTATTTCACTTAGCTTAATGTCCTCAAGGTTCATCCGTGTTGTAGCATGTGTCAGAATTTCTTTCCTTTTTAAGGCTGAATGAATATTTTAAGTATATACCACACTTTGCATCTCCATCCATTCATCAATGGACACTTGGGATGCTTCCATGTTTTATCTATTGTGAATAATGCTGCTATGAACATGAGTGCACAAACATCTCTTTGAGATCCTGCTTTTAATTCTTTTGAATGTACATTCAGAAGTGGAATTATTGGATCATATAATTCTATTTTTAATCTTCTGAGGAAACACCGTTTTCCAATTTTTTTTTTTTTGCTGGTCAGTCCATGGATCAGACCCCTGACCTTGGTATTATCAGCACCATGCTCTAACCCACTGAGCTAACTGACCAGCCTTCTACTATATTTGCAAATGTGGTGTTTTTTTCATATTTTTATTTCTAAGAGCTTCCTTTCTAATAAGATCCTGCTCTTTTCATGAATGTTATGTTATCCAAGCTCTAACCCACTGAGCTAACTGACCAGCCTTCTACTATATTTGCAAATGTGGTGTTTTTTTCGTATTTTTATTTCTAAGAGCTTCCTTTCTAATAAGATCCTGCTCTTTTCATGAATGTTATGTTATCCAAGAGGAGGCACAGAATTCAGAACACAAATTATAGAGCAAGACTAACTGGGTTTACATACTGGCTCTGCTACCTACTAGGTTGTTCAAGTTACATTACCTCCTTATTCCCCAATTTCCTCATATATCAAATGGGGATAATAAGTCTGTACATTTTAGGGTTGTTGTAAGGATTGAGTTAATAATACTGTGTCCAGCACGTGTCATAGTTAACTCTCTGAAAATATAATTAATTGTGATTTTCTTCTGCTCTCTCCATTGCTTTTGTTTCTTGATTTTTAAATTTTGGTTATTTTCATCTTTATCTTTCATGTAAGAGGACTTCTTCAAGAGTTTGGTTATCCTTAGTCACCTGCTCATACTTAGGGGCAGGAATTAAAGTACTGAATGGAAGTTCTGTGGGTGAGGGCAAAGTTTGTCACCTGGGCTAGCTCAGTAGGAACCCCCTCCCCCTTTGCTCTAGAATTGTACACTCTGTGAGATCAGGGTCCTATCTATCTTATTAGTCACCAGATGCCCTGCATCTAGATAAGTAGGTGCTCAATAAATATTTGTTATTGTTATCATAACTCTCTGAGCCACAGTTTTCTCATCTGAAAAGTAGGGATAAAACATTTATCTGGCAGATGCTGTAAGAATAGATAATATATGTGAAGCACCTGACACAGTGCTTAGTATTTAGCAGAAGCTTGATAAACAATAACTGGTAACATTACTATCATTATCATTTCTAAGGATAGCAGGGCGGCTGTTTCATGACTATTTGTGGTCACCACTGACCATGCTAAATATAGAGGCAAAGCACAGTACCTGTTGAGAGGCCAGTTATAGTACAAATAAGCAAAGCAAGGGCTCAAGATAACAGAGAAAGTCCAAAAAGAACACTGGCTTCAGTCGTGACCTTGTGGGTAGAACGTGGGCAGTGACACTGTATCACCACACAGCTCTGCAGAATTGCCATTCTAGAATGCTCCTTTTCTATCACTCTGTCCAGTCTGTTACAGGCTATTTAGCAGTGAAGACACTGGCGGAAGTTCAGCGGCATGCCAGTCCTCACCACAAACCCAGACACTCTATCCAGAGAGCAGGCAGACTGATGGATTGGGTTTTTCTAAACTAGAGTTATTTAATTTTCAAATAATACATGCATATTGTTTTTTAAAAAAGGAAACAGTACAAAAGGGTGTAAATGGAAAAGTCAGCATCCCTGTCAACCCCAAACCTTCAGGCAGATTGCCCAGAGATCACCATTATTTCTTAAAGATATTTTTATGTACACACAGGATATACGCATACTTTTTCACAGATGAGAATTATAAAAAACTGTTCTAAAATTTGCTTTTTTCCCCCCTCTACTTTATCCTGAATATTTTTCTATATCAGTAAATGTAGGCTTGCCTCTTTACTTTTAACCATTTCTCTATTTATAAAGTAATACAGCAGATAAGCCCACAGATCTCAATGACTTAACATTTCTCTTTTACCTAAATCCAATTGCAATCCAGTGGGGAGTCAGGGGAGGGGAGGTATTCTGCTCCTGCCACTTATTTAGGGAATTCAGGATGATCAAGGCCCTGCCAACTTTGACATGTGATTTCCACATACTTGGTGGCTTCTAAAGTCACCCTGCGTGACACTATCCAGCCAGCAGATGAGGAAAGAGTGTGGAGGAGGGCGAAAGTTTTGTATTACAATGAACCACGGGTAGAGGTGACATCTAACACTTCTGCCCACATTCCACCGGCCAGAACTTGAAGACCCCCTACCCGCAGACTAGTACTGGGAAATGTCTGGCTGGAACACTATGGAAGGGAAGCACAAACCTTTGGTGGGTGGTGAAACAAATCTGACACAGTTGCACTGTAAGAATGCATCCTAATTTAAACTTTAAAAGGCTAGCTTTCCTCTTCTTTCTCCTGCTTTTCTACTTTTGTCAAAGACAAGTTTTTTAAGTGTAGAAAGATATTACCTGGTAAAAATGAAGAAATAAGAATGTGGACACCTGTAGCCACTGCTCTTTCAGAGTTGGGCATAGGGAGGAAACTGTCAATGAAAAACTTTAAAGGATGCATACCTTTGACCCAGTAATACTTCTAAGGACGTTTCCTAATAAAATTAGTGGATCACTGCTCACACCTGTATGTAAAGGATGTTTATAATAGTCACATATTGTAAGCAACCTAGATGCCCAGTGATAGAGAACTGTTTAAATTACTGTACACCCAAATATGTAATGAAATACTGTGCAGGTGTTTAAAATAATTGCATAGATACCTGCAAACAAAAATGTGTCCATATGTTATGATAAAAAATAAAACTCTTCAACAAATTGATTAATTGTAGCAAAAAGCCTGGAGGATCATACATTAAAATGTTTATAGTATTTATCTCTGGGTAGCAGATCTATGAGTGTTTTTCACTTTCTTCCTTTCCACCTTTATGTAATCTCTCAATATTTCATCATTAGAAAAAACAGTATAGTGGGCCGGCCAGGTGGCGCACTGGAGAGTGCGCCGCTTGGGAAGCGCGGCGGCGCTCCCGCCGAGGGTTCGGATCCCATGTGGAGACCGGTTCCCGCTCACTGGCTGAGCGCGGTGCGGGCGCAACACCACGGGTTGCAATCCCATTGCTGGTCCCCGGTGCGGGTGCGACACCGAGGGTTGCGATCCCGTTACCAGTCAGTAAAAAAAACAAAAAGAAAAAAAAAAAAAAAAGAAAAAACAGTATAGCTATTTTCAGCCTGAAGTGAAAAAAAGTGTAGATAAAGGGGACTGGGACTGAGGTGACTGAAGGCAAGTATGTGAGTCAGACGTGGCCTCCTGGGCCCTGCCTGTCTGTTGGGCCTGTCACCTGACACTCAAGTTGCTATCAGGAGCACTTTTCTCTGTCAAAGTGACTGGCTTTTGTCATGTAATCTCCAGGTTATAATAGGAGTGTAGGATGGGTCCCAGAGCAGTCAGCAGAGGCACGCCATGCTTGCAGCCTCTGCATGGGGAACACCATCAGGGCCATCATGGCCTTCATCCCTGCCGACCGCTGCCAGAACTATGTGGCCGGAGACCTCCGGGAGATGCCTCTGGACAAGATGGTGGATCTGAGTAGCAGTCAGCAGAGGCACGCCATGCTTGCAGCCTCTGCATGGGGAACACCATCAGGGCCATCGTGGCCTTCATCCCTGCCGACCGCTGCCAGAACTATGTGGCCGGAGACCTCCGGGAGATGCCTCTGGACAAGATGGTGGATCTGAGTGGGAGCCAGCTGCGCCACTTCCCCGTGCATGTGTGCTCCTTTAGGGAGCTGATCAAGCTCTATCTGAGTGACAACCACCTCAACAGTCTGCCTCCAGAGCTGGGGCAGCTGCAGAACCTGCAAATCCTGGCCTTGGATTTCAACAACTTCAAGGCTCTGCCCCAGGTAGTGTGTACCTTGAAACAGCTCTGCATCCTCTACCTGGGCAACAACAAACTCTGTGACCTCCCCAACGAGCTGAGCCTGCTCCAGAACCTCCGGACCCTGTGGATCGAAGCCAACTGCCTCACCCAGCTGCCGGACGTGGTCTGTGAGCTGAGTCTCCTGAAGACTCTGCACGCTGGCTCCAACACCCTGCGTCGGCTACCAGGCCAGCTCCAGCGCCTCCAGGAGCTGAGGACCATCTGGCTCTCAGACAATCTGCTGACAGATTTCCCCCCTGTACTACTTCACATGCCCTTCCTGGAGGTGATTGATGTAGACCGGAACAGCATCCGTTACTTCCCCAGCCTGGCCCACCTGTCAAGTCTGAAGCTGGTCATCTATGACCACAATCCTTGCAGGAATGTACCCAAGGTGGCCAAAGGCGTGCGCCGTGTGGGGAAATGGGCAGAGGAGACACCAGAGCCAGACCCCAGAAAAGCCAGGCGCTATGCATTGGTCAAGCAGGAAAGCCAGGAGCCACAGGCACCTGCCTCACCTCCACTTCCTCCTACCGACTCCTGAGGAGCTTCAGTTTTAGGTCAATACCAAGGATCCAACTCCAGCATATTCTGGAGACCTCTTCATTATAGTGGAAAGGATTGCTCTGGTCATTTGGGGTGTCTCTGCCAGCGGGGGCTGATGGAGAGCCAAGTGCAATGCTGTAAATCACATTGAGAATAAAAAAGTCTGGCCAACAGCATCTCACTCATAGGGAAGTCGTGTGCTGTTGGTGGCATGACAACCCAGAGTGATCATAACTTCCTGGCAAGACAACAGCTTCTTCGAGCAGGTATTTTGAAACCCTGAAGAGTTAAGTAAGAAGGTCTGGGACACTTTGACCACCTCTGCTTTCCAGCAGTGGCTGGTCATGAGAATCCTAAGCTCCTTAAATAAGGTATTTGTTATAGAACTCACTAAATGTTCAGGTGGCCTGTTCCCAGTCCTTTGCAGGATATATTTTCTTTACTATGAATGACCATAAACGGTATCAATGTATTGTTATTAATTCAGGCCACTGGAAAGACATTTCTACCTAGTCAGTCAGATTTACAGAAAAAAGCTTTTTGTTGTTGCAAAGGCTCAGGATGACACATTTTACCCAGCAGTTTAGCACCTGCTGAAAAGACCCCGATGGAGAATGCCTCTTGGTAGAGTCCAGCTGCCACTTTAAACTTAACAGTGGTTCGTGCCGACTTAGCTCATTTTCCCTAAAAGGTTTGATCCAAGGTCTGCTCCCAACTGTTTACTGTCACTGACAATGTTGGAAGTCATCTGGAAAGTCTGAACCTCTCTTCGGCAGTGTGGTCTCGTTAAAGTCAATCCTCAGTGTGGTTCCTGGCAGCCTCACCAGAGCAGAGCCCTCCTGTTTATTCAAACTAACAAACCACGGTTGGATTGAATACCCGTCTGGGGAGAGAAATCACATTTCCAGAATCATATTAGGTTAAAGATAGTAGGTTAGAAACAAGCACTTTGAAATTTGAATCGCAGGTTGTAACGTACATAGGAACTCTCTGCCTTTGCTCGGATTTGTTTTTATTTTTGTATATAGGACCTTTTGACAGTGCAGAAACCTAGGTACTTGGGCCATTATTTTTTGGAAGTATGTAAACTGTAATCTTCCCATGAATAAACTTTAAAGAAATAGCTGTCAGTGTGTTATTTAATAACATAATCCCTTTATGTGCTTGAACCTTTTCAGCAAACAAGGACACAAAGTGTCATCTTAATCAAAACATACCATACTGAACTTTTAAAAAATACTTTTCCCATAAAAGCATCCTAACCCATCAAAGTTTGATACTAAAATGACATTACATAGCAGACTATTTTTATATGTCTCCCTACCAGAAACATTTCTAGCTAAACGAGAGGAAGAGAAAGTTCCATGATAACGCATAATCCCTTCCTATCACCACCTCCCATCTATACAGCAGCTGCAACCCACTGATCAGACCGCCAAAGGGCCCTTTAATCATTAAATGAAATAGGTTTATACCCATAGGTCAAACATACCTAACTTAGTAACAAGTCCAGATTTCTATTAGCCAGGATTTATACTCTATTTTCTCATTCCTAATGACTGAAGTCAAACTATACTCAGCTGATGCTAGAAACTTTTGCCAACAGAACTTGCCTTCTAAGCTTCATCTACAGCAATGTTTATAGATTACCGACTTTCTTTTGTCCCTGTCTTCCCCCTCCCAAGATTAATGGGCCTACTTTTTGCAATGTAGCTGCAAGCTGTAGCCATAAAACAGAGTGAACCAAATTACCCATATAGAGTTCTTATCTAATGAGCTAACTGGTCTGGACCAAATGTCAAATTATAAACATTTTGGCCCATAATCAAGCTGTTTTCTTCTAAAACTATCAATACACAACAAACATTTCTCAAACCATATGGTTTAAATTCACTGCTGATTTTACTTTCCAAAAATGTTTTCACTGTAGGATTTCAATTTTATAAAGCAAGCATATAAATGCATACTTACATTTCTATAACCCTTCTGATGTTTTCCAGAAATGTGGACATAATCAGAAAGTAAAATAATTTAAGTACCAACTGCAACTTTTTTGCTCCTGATTTTAAGTCTTGAAACCCAAAGTGTTAATGCATCAAAGGAGAAATCTCTTCCTGAAGTTTATACAGGATTTTAGCTTCCATAACCAACATGGATTCTATGGAAATGAACCAGCAATCAAGTTTGCTTAATTATTTTGTCCTAAAGTGCAACATCATTATGGTTTGTAATTCCACACATAAAAAGTGAGCTTCTGCCCTAAAAACCAACTGAACTCAAACAACTTTAACTAAAAGCACATATCAAACAATGTCCCAGAGACAGTGTAGCATAGTGGCTAAGAGCATGGCCCTTTAGGCCACCTGGGTTCAAATCCCAGCTTTGCCACTTACTAGTCAGTTATCATCTGTGTGCCTGCATTTCCTCATCATAAAATGGTAAGTTTCCACCTCTCAGGAGACTGCAAAGATTATACCAATCACTGTGTATAAAGTGCCTGGCATGTGACAGCAAATGTTTACATAATATGTTCTTTCAGTGTTAAACCATGTAGCACAACACTTTTTTTTTTTAAACACTAAAATCAGTACAATTCCTTACTTGAAGGAAAAAACATAAATGGCAATAGAACAAAAAAAGCTTTTTTCCCCTCTGTAAATTTTTCAACCATATCTATAGTTCTGAATATAATGACAATTTGGTCAAATGCTCCTGGCTTACCTAAATAGAAAAACACACAAACATGATTACTAAGGATTCATTTTTTAATTTCTAAATAAATATACTTTGCTCCTTCCCTGTTATTCTAGAATTCACAAAATCACCAAAGCACTTGGAAACATGAGACTATTCCTTGGCATTAAACTCATGTTTCATGAGGGGCAGGAGGCGTGTGACTGAAGACATGGGTGCCTGCTAGATACTTTACCACCTTTTGTCATTGTTAAAAAAAACAATACGTACTCCTTGTAATCTTACTACCATAGAAAGAATGCTGTTAAATAACAGAAAGGTATACATGCCTTATTTCCCTTCTGGACTGTCCAATTCTGGAGAACAGGAAGCAAATCTTATTTATCTTTGAATCCACAGCACTCAGCAGAATTCCCTCATGCTACTTGAATACTGGAGATTTTTTTTTTTTTTTGTCTTTTGTCTTTTTCCGTGTCCGGCAACGGATTGCAACCCTCAGTGTTGCCCCCGTACCAGACCGGGGACCGGCAATGGGACCACAACCCTCGGTGTTGCTCCCACCCCTCGCTCAGCCAGTGAGCGGGAACCGGTCTGTATGTGGGATCCGAACCCTCGGGCGGGAGCGCCACCACGCTTCCCAAGCAGCGCACTTATCCAGTGCGCCACCGGGCCGGCCCCAATACTGGAGATTTTTATCATGCACCCGTCCCAGAAGACAGGGTGACAGGCTGATATACAGAGCACTGCTAGGTCAGGCAGCGGCTGTGCAAGATTGGCTCCTGGATGACAGCAAGATGCTGGGCAAATGTGGCTTCACCAGCCTAACAGCACAGCCACAGGCCGCAGCCACAGCAAGGCTGGCCTTCCGGGCAGATGACAACTTTGTGGCCCTGCGCATTGAGCCCTTCTCCAGTCCACCTGAGCTGCCTGACACGATGAAGCTGCAGGAGTCAGGAAGCAGCACCAATAAACAAACTGCAGCGAGAGGTCCCAGCCTTCCTCCTAGGCCCATTCCCCCCAGTAAAGGATATCTGGGTGTCAAAAAAATAAAATTTGTGAACTTGGGATCTTTCTAAGCCTAAGACAAACTTTGCAGGTTTTCATTCATGGTATGTTCACCTGCTCCACCTACCTCAGTTGGGAATCACAACTGAGGTACATTTGATAAAGCACTTAGAAAAAAAAATTAACCAGCCAGCCACCACAAAACAAAACAAAAGGTAAGTGTTGGCTAGGATGCAGAGAAAAGGAAACACTTGTACGTTGTTGGTGGAAATGTAAATTAGTACAGCCACTGTAGAAAACACTATGGAGGTTCCACCAACAAGAAAAAAATTTTTAAAACAAAGAATTACACAGAAGATGGTATTGCTGTTAATGTTACTGAAAGTATAAATCAGTATAATCCTCTTTGATAATACCTAGTTTTTCCATTTTTTTTTTTTTTGTCTTTTTCCGTGTCCGGCAACGGATCGCAACCCTCAGTGTCGCGCCCGTACCGGACTGGGACCGGCAACGGGATCGCAACCCTCGGTGCTGCTCCCGCGCCTCGCTCAGCCAGTGAGCGGGAACCGGTCTGTATTTGGGATCCGAACCCTCGGTGGGAGCGCCACCGCGCTTCCCAAGCGGCGCACTACAGCAGTGCGCCACCAGGCCGGCCCATTGTAGAAGCTTTTAAAAACTGGAAAAACTTGGGCCGGCCCGGTGGCGCACTGCTGTAGTGCGCCGCTTGGGAAGCGCGGTGGCGCTCCCACCGAGGGTTCGGATCCCAAATACAGACCGGTTCCCGCTCACTGGCTGAGCGAGGCGCGGGAGCAGCACCGAGGGTTGCGATCCCGTTGCCGGTCCCGGTCCGGTACGGGCGCGACACTGAGGGTTGCGATCCGTTGCCGGACACGGAAAAAGACAAAAAGGAAAAAAAAAAAAAAAAAAAAGCTTCTACAATGTATTACATAGACACTGAGACAAACTTTTAGATACAACCCCTTTCGTCCCCCACAGTACCCCCCCCAAAAAAATTAGTGTTATCAGTGTTTCTTTGAAAATTCTTTTGCTCCTATATGGGAACGTCCCTCCATATTAACACAGAAATATCCAATAAAAACTCATAACCTACTTACTATGGATCTCTCTCATTTCTTGTGTATTCTGCTATATTCTGACGTATTAACCTCCAAATCTAATGTTGCCTTTAAACCATCAAGCTCAGGACATACTTATATAGGTTCATTCTCTCTCATCCATTGACCAAAAATAAGAAAACACTTTAAAGAGAATATCACCTATAGAGCATTCGGGGGAGATGCTTAGAGCAGCTTGCAACAACCAACATTTAAAATATGACTTAGAATGCCCAGCTAGCTCAGCTGGAAGAGCATGACACTCAGAATATAGGGCCAGCCAGTTAGCTCAGCTGGTTAGAGCATAGTGCTGATAACACTAAGGCCAGAGTTCCATCCCTGTACCAGCCAGCCGCTAGAGGAAAAAAAAAAAAATGACTTTCTCAAATTTGAAGTAACAGAAACCATCATTTTTTTCCATGTAAGAGACAGTACTTACAGTACACAAAATTAAATGAGTACCAGAATTTATGGTACTTTCATTACACAAAAAGCTATGCATAAATGTGTATATTTATAGCCCAACAACAAAACCAAAAGATTAATATATGATGTGTTAATATATGATGGGTTTATATTAATAAAGATAAGAATTTCATAAATGTATAAGGTCAATCATTAGGCTGCAACAACTCTATACTGAAGTAAAAAATTTCCATTAAGCAGAGTTCAAACAGGTACATCTAAATCAATAAGACATAAGAAGTAATTCTTCAAATTTTAATTACAATGCACAGTATGAGAAACTTTTAAATCAACTGAATTGTATGGAAAATGAAAAGGCAAATAAATTAGACCCATGTTAAAATAGAAGGTCAGCTAAATGTTCAAACTTAAGGATATAATGGTCACAGATAAACATCAATTCCACAGTCTTCTTTAAGAGATTGAAGGCTTTCAAACACAACTTTGCTATGAACTGGTCCAGAAATTAACAGCCTATGGGAATGCTTAACAGGGATGGTGATCAGGGACACGTTTCCTGGAGGGAAAAAACATATGTTTAAGAAAAAGTCAACAGGAAAAAATAAGAAGCATGATTTTAACCAGTTTTATACTAAATACACATACAGCTAGAATCCTAATGTTATTAAAACCACTACAACCCAATTCTCCATATGAAGGACATTTCTACCTCATTACTAGCACTCTTCAATTACTATGTTATTAGTTAGGGGACATTAGAAAATCTGTGGATTGTGAAGGCCTGCAGGTACTTAGCATTTCTCAACTTCTCATCCAACTAACCTATTTAAGCAAAGATGTATTGTCCAGAAAAAGGTTAATTCATGTTTTTGACTGATACATGCGTTAGAGAATTTTGCTAAATTAGTCGAAGAGTTACTTTTATCCATAAGTTGTAAAATGAGAAGGGTTTAGAGCTTCTAGATGATAATTTCTGGATCTCTATTCTAAATGAACAAAAACAACTACCAACAGACAAGCTGGTGATTGGATAGGTAACTCACTGAAGAATGACAATATTATCCCTCACATCATTTATTCTCTGGTGATCGTGCAGTCAAGGAGCATATAAGAATCTTTTGTGAAGAAGGGATGATAAGTATACTACTAAAATTTTTGTTTAATTCTTGCTGAAGGACTAAAGCTTGAGAAACACTGCTTCTACAGGCGAGCACAACAGTTAAGAGAAGCAGATGAAAAAGCATTAACAACAGTCTCAAAGAGTACATACAGTATTATACTAGGATCATATTAAGAGACAAACCTTCCAATCTCAATAGCTTATTGGGGAACTAGGATGCTAACTATAGTCTCAAGCAGATATCACAGGGCACTGATCTGAAAAACGAGTCCTTGGGAGTATGGAAAAAAAAAA